GTTAGAATGTAAATATAAATACCACAAATGCGATTATTTCTTTGGCTCTTGTTACCAGCAGATTTAATCAAAAAGTTTATTTGATCAGCACGTTATAAGATGTAAAAGATGTGCTTTTTTTCTGCTCATCTATTTTAGATACTTTAAAACGAACCATGCATTGTAGCGTTCTTGTCCTAATTTGAATATATTCGGTACGAGATTTTAAAATTGACAATGGAAAAAGCTGGATTGGCGACTATATTTATGTATGTAGAGCTCTTGTTAATGTTGGAAACTTTCCAGTCATTTCATGTATTCACTCATAACAGAAGCTACTATTGTCACAAATAACATCAAGCTAGGTACACTGAGTTTCACATTATTCTCCTTGCTATTCTAAACTACAAATTTCGTGGTATTTGTTTTTGTGCCAAGAGAGTTTGAAGATATTTGGAAAACGTGACTACCTACGTAAGTCTCTTGTAAAAATTATAAAAAACTTTAAAACATTTAACAATGTTTTTTGCCTCATAACTTTACCCATAATTTTGCATTATCTCAATTAATCCTGAATTGAATAATGATATATTCTGAACATGCCAATATCCCCTTGAGCAAATGGAGCCATTCTTTCACAAGAAGTTGCAACATGCAGCTCCTCGCAGGCGTGTTATGGGGTTGCTTACGACACTGTGTATCGATCTCCGCCCGGCTACCATGCGCCACAGTCCGTGGCCGAGTAACAGTTAAGGGTCAAGGGCTTGGATTAAGGACATGTTCCAACTTTCCTCATTTCTTTGCCCAGAAGCAGCACTGGGACGTATATACATTTTGGGAGGGGAGGAGGGGACATACACGAAATAATGAATCGTAGCTCCGCAACGCTGCAAAATATTTCTTTCGATTCTTTCTTTCTCGCCCTTATGAAGGAACGTCTTAAGAAGAAAAAGTTGAAATGAAATGCAGAAGGAAAAAGTCTTTTTGCCGGGCCCTGCAAACAAAAAGGTGGATAAATCCAATGGCTAAATTTAGAAAATATAATCCTCTACGACGTGGTACAGTAACAATCCTTGTTTTGTGAGTTCATGATACCGAAAAATACAATGACGTTAAAAATGTCTGTTCGTCCGTCTGTGAACATCGCTAGCTGTTAAACCGGTAAACCCAAATTGATAATTCGCAATTAATCTGGCTATATGTCGCGGCCCCTTGAATTTGAAACCGATATTTTGATTTTTGGGGATACTTTACATCAATCTCCTGGGACATTTTCTACATTTAAAAAAAATGGCTCCATCGTTTTTTATCAAATTTTGTAGTTGGATAGATGAAGAACGTTTGAGAGAATGATGCAGATGCCACGTATGTTAAAAATCCTAATTTTTCGAAAATTGTCAAAATTGAATTTTTTTCGGCGTCTACCTACAACTACAATTTGGAAGATAGTTTTTTCTTAATGTGTTCATCAAAAATACTTTTTTAGAATAGGTAATATTCAATATTTCGAATATATGAGTACATTTTGCGTAATTTTGGATGAAACACAAGCAGTTTTAAAACTATTTTAAACAATTTTCTCAGAAACAGCTTCAAATTTTGTTTTTTATTTTTTCCTCGTATGTAGCAAATAACTGCTAAGATGGTGATGATTGTCCAATTTTCGGAGCACTCTGCATTTAGGAAAATTGCAAAAATGTTCGGAATTGTAAATTCGAATTTCATGAGCTACGTTTTGGGTGCTGCCTGATCGGAAAATAGCTACTAGAAATTCAAAATTCTTCGAATTCATCCATTGTTGTTTGTCATGATTGTATGATGTAGATATTATTTGTAAGAATGGAAATAAAATGTGTTACCTTCCTTCAATATAACTTAGAGCAAACAAACACACTTCTATACTTCAAGTTTCAATCTTTGAATATGGTATTAAAAATTGAAAGGTCACTTAAAACGTAATCAAGATAGGCTAATGTGAAATTATTCTGGTTTTTCTGTATTATGTTCTGTAAATACTGTAAAGTTTAAACTTATTGATGTTCGTTTCATTTCTAAAATGTAAGAAATGACTACTCATCCTCCCAATGGAAATAAACGCAGATAGGCACGAGAGGTGATTCGCTTGAATTATACTTTTTCAAGTTGTAACTGAGATTTTGGTATTGCAGAAATTACAATATTTTAATATTACATAACTATTTTCAATCTTGCAAGAAAGTATGTGCTGTTTAGAACCTCTAGTTCGTATTAACTAAAGATCTTGAGGGAAAATAAGTTCAATGATAATTTTCAGTGTAATGTAACTTTCCTATATCAAATGAAATAATGTGTACAGTATTATCAGTGGTACTAATTCAACTTTTTACTAATGGAATAACAATAATAGTTATTATCACAATTGTAATAATAATAACAATAATAATACAAAATGTTTAAAGACAATTCAAGTCGGCAAGAAAGTGCGACAACTTATGTTCATAATCTGAACAGCATTAAGCATGAACGAGCATAATTATCATTAGTTAAAATTTTTATTTGTAAGTTGAGTAGATAATCATCTATATTATTTTTAACAATCTACTTCAAAAACATGTTTCAATATTGAATAATAAAACTTCTCCTGTTCACGAGATACAATCAGTTATTTTAATATACCAATTATTACGGAAATGTCGTATTAATTTGTAGGGCAAAAGCAACATAAAATAATGTTTCACATAATTTAATCCATTATAAAATGAAAAAAAAAATTATATACTTTTTTAAATTTCATGTCTGTCTTATGAAACGGACACATAATAATAATAATAATAATAGTAATAATAATAATAATAATAATAATAATTCAACAGGATGGTTTGATGACTTTGAGACAATAATGCACTTAATGTACATGGCATGCACATTATTTTATTAATTTCCTGATAACCAAAACATTCTGAACACGGGTTCTCAGGGCGTTCACAAAAATACTAGTATAATGTACAACCTGAAATAATTTTAAACGGAATACGATATTGTTGCTTTCGAAATTCCTGCACATTTTTCTTAATCACACTTGCTTCTTGTGGCGGAACTGTGTCCATGGAAGCAATCAATGAGCTGGCCGTTTTCTTTTCCGCTTCCCCCCTTTTTATTCCCGTTCTTCCTGCACGCGCTATCGCCTTCTCGCGTTCTCCGCTTCGCCCGCGTTCGCGCACCCACGCGCAAGAGCCGCATTCGGCGAGCGGGAGTCGCGGAGGGCGGAGGGACAGACGTCGGAGTCCATGTTCTTGCGCGTTGAATGGTTGCAGTTTCGTCTAATTGCTAAACGGAACAAATTATTACACCTTCGTGAATATCGATAGTATTGAGCTCTGAATCTGAGTTTAAGATATGTAACGCTTGGAAGATAAAATATAATTCACGATTGCTGCAACTTGAGGTTCAGATAAGAAAAAGGAAGCACACTGTGATATAACTCTGGAATCGTCGATAACCAACATCTAAATTTTCAACACCAACTCAACAGCAGTAATGAACTAATTGCGGTGTAAGGTAAGTGTGGCAAGTTGTAACAAAACTGCACGCAAATATTGTAGCATGTATTTCATGCCTTATATTTTATTTTGTTATCGTAGAATAATATTGTTCGATTCTTAAAAAAAAGTAGCAATTTTAATATATTCGACGTGCAAGCGACATTTTTTAAAAATGTTTTGTTATTGGTTTCGTTTGCTGGTTTGAAAGAAAAAAATAGTTTTATATAATTTGTATGATCAAACAGAGGCAAACATTAACTTCAGCATGTCAGTGCATGTCATAGCTACGGACTTTGCAATGTTTATTAAAACTCTGTATAGCAAAAATAACATTACGAAATGTACCCTCGGGTTAAGGATTCGATCGCAGAATTCTCGTTTTGCCAACGATTCTGTAAGCAACAGTTGCAATGATCTACGTTTTTTGAAAAAGAAAATAAACTTTTTTGTCCTCCCCACTATATGTTATAAGCAGTTTCAATTGCTAAATTCACGCAAGAATGCATATACACAAATAACTCTTCCACCTCTTGAACCTTATATTAGTTAACCCGAGTTATAGAATTGTCAGATCAATCAGCACAATGCTGAATCACTTCCATAATTCTATTTCCAAAATACAACATGTGGTTCGTAGTTAGGTTAGGTGGTTCTTATAATTATTAGCTAGGCACGCAGATATTAATGCATTAAACCTAATACATAAAAAGGCAGGTCCATGTGGGTAATTATTCTACAATTAAATTGAAAGCACCCGGAAGTGATTGCTCTAAAGAACAAGGTGTTTGTAAACCCGAAAATGTTGCCTCAAATACATATAATTACACTCTGAAATTTGTGTAAGTGGGAACAGCCAATACGAGTAAAGGGTTTTCTATCCCGGAGGGTGACATTGGTTCTGGGCGTTCCCGAGCGGAACGGTGGGGTAGATAGATATTTTATTTCTGCAGGTAGGTTTGCTGGTGGCAAAACACTACAATTTAATTTTACAATTAGGAATATTAACACAATGCAATTTTAAATCAATTTACCATAGTAATAATAACAATAAAGACAATAATCGCATTAACTCTATTTTTATGAGTATCCTGTATAGATATTTAACTAATAAATACTTTTTAAATACACGATACTCCACTCCACTCCATTCTTCCCCACTCCACTTCACTTTCCTTGGGAGCGGGAGGGACGGCTGGAAGGAGGAACTCGGGATCTACTTAAACGAAAAAATAATCGCGGATCTTCCCTAATTTTCCACACATTTTAGTCTGGCCTGGCATATTATTACTTTTTTTGCTTTCAGAACATTCAAAACATTTACCATGAACTCAAAGGATATCATGCTTTTCTGCGCTGTGGCTCTGGCGGCTGTCGCTGCAGCCCAGTCGCCTCTCCCATACAACGCTCACGTTTCCTCGTCCAGCAACAAACACAGAGGCGCTGTCGCAGCGACGTGGGAAGGCAGAGAGCGGGGACGCCCCCCCTTCGCGGCGCCGTCCAATGGAAGCGCAGTTGCGGTGGGCGCCGGCGCTGACCGCCCTGCGGTGCTGGGAAGGCCACCAATGGCCAGGACACACCTCCTCCCAAGGTGCTGCTCATCTCCTACGTTATTTTCTGCGCTGTCGATACTTAGCAGCCGAATACTTAGCACAGATGCGCTGACAAAAAAGAAGTCCCCGACGAGTTTTTTTATTCTTTTCATACAGAGAAATGAAAATCGAAACTAGAAAAGAAAAGTCTGTATTCTACATACATAGCTGACAAACTAATAAAACTGAATTGATTAGTAGAAATAGTTATTAAAGTCATCAGGCCGACGTAGAGTTCATAACAGATGCGGATTGAATGGGTAAACCGAGGGGAGGTGTAAAGTGTGATATCGTTTGTTTCAATATACTACTCTCTCAGCTGTAGGTTTGATTTCCCTCCAAACACCTGTGCCTCTTACTAACTGTAATTTGATGATGTTCGGGTAGAAGGAATTATGATTTTGTTTACATGTCGAAGTATCATTGTGTACCACCTTTGTAATCGACGAATATCTGAAAAATATTACATTTGTTTATTTTAAAAGTAAATTTCTTATTTACAAGGAAATCTCATATATGGATGGCAATAGCTATTGACGGATCAACTACAGGTTGATGCAGTGAGGATGAAGGGTGATGAGGACTTGCGTTGAGGCTGAGCATGGGAGTGAGGACTACAGGGGTGACGCGGGGATCAGGGGGATGACGTGGGAGACGCGTTCCGCGATGAGGATCAGAAAGGAACGAGGATGAGCACCAAGTTAAATTCTGACCCCTCAGCAAAATAAATATTTCCACAAGAAAAAACAACCTAACTTTCTTTATCCGAACAGGTCGGGAAACAAATGAACACTATCCAGGACGATGACAGTGCAAAATATAGTTATTAGGTCATTTACAAAATAGCTCTCTGCAAACGAACGCCCTGACAAAATGGGCGCACGGACGCAACCTGCAGGTAGGTTACCAGCAGTGGCTGTCCGTCCTCAGGGCGCCGGCGCCGGCGCCGCCGTGGGACGGCGTGTGGTGGGCGGCGCAGGGCGGCGGGGCCGG